CTACTAGCCATGGGGGTTTGTCGGTAGGGCATGTCTGAAGGACTCTAACGCTAAATCGCACTTCGCATTTTACCTTCTGAGCTCAACTTGCCATAGTCATGTAGATGACTGTGCTTCTTCTTGGAAGGCAGGGGATCAATGAGATTTCCTTATCGCATGAATTCAAAAGTCGTTTGGTAATGATGAGGATGCACTCTTGGTTTGCTTCTTCTTTAGCCGTTGTGTTGGCCACGAAATAACAAGTTTGATGAGCGGTACATAACAGACCTAATTTTAATTAGTGTAACGAAGCTTCACGCGCAACGCCGCGTCGCAATCTGCAAACGGAAGAAACACAGCAACACCATTTATTTCTGTACGATCCAGCCGAACCTGATATCCTGTACTAATGTCATCCACGTCTGCTGGATAGATATTCGGGATGTCAAGCACGCAAAAGTAGAGAAATGAATTCGGATTGTGCAACACACATTCGAAATAACTAACGCCTTTCAGTTAACATTCTTTTCGAGAAAAGTTTATAAAATATGCACGGTACTACGGTTCAAAACCAGGTTTGGTTATGATATTGCTCGTCGGCTTTTCTTTATTGTAAGAAAGCAACTTGGTAGACCAGCTCGCGTAGAGATCTTCAGACAACCTTGTGGTGTGTCAATTATCCTTAATTTCGGAGGTTCAGACCTGTTATAAACAGCAGGTCTATGTATGTAAGACCAGTCGAATTGAACGTCTCCTGCCCATAATATCTAGAGCCCCACAGCTGAGACGAAGCTTTTTTTTTTACAGAACTGTATGTAGTGCCTGATTAGTCACGCAGGGGATACAGTACATGCATTACTCGCGCAAATACATCACAAATGATAAAAAAAACATCGACGAGTTGAGACGGAGCACCTGTCTGTCGTCACGGCCACACATATTTTATCCAAGGACGGCTTTATAACGTCCCTTACAGTGATCACAATACATATCCTTTTTTTTTCTTGCTGCTTTCATCTCACAACTCATTGGAGGCTGCGCCTTGTGTACCTTGTTTTCCTCTATTAAAACGTAAAAGAAGTGTCATTCGATACGATCTAGAAATACATTAACTTCACAAACGCAACCACTTAGTCAATTTTAATTGATCAGCTGTGACCAAAGATTTCGTAACAATTCGTTAAACACAGCCGATAAATTAACATTAACTGAATGGTTGAGGTAGTGCGGAACGATGTCTTTCATCTCCGTATTGTTATAATGGATAGGGGACAAATCCGAAGTGCCACCCCGCCTTCCGGCATCCAGAAGCAACGCATTCTCGAAGACAGCCGCGCTTTTATTATATAGTACAGAAGATCCCATCGGTAGTAATCCCTAGAAATGGAATATCCCTCAATAGCAATAAATTAGCGGTTCCCGTTGACCAGTCACATACAAACCCAAGATATTATTCCCTTTCACCCCTCAATCGTAAAATGAAATACATTTGAAGTCAAATATTCCTATTCTGTGGTTCTTAACTATGGAAAAAGTCATAACTGTACAGTACATACAAACCCAAGATATTATTCCCTTTCACCCCTCAATCGTAAAATGAAATACATTTGAAGTCAAATATTCCTATTCCGTGGTTCTTAACTATGGAAAAAGTCATAACTGTACAAGAGCATTGTTGCTGCCACGATCCGAATGTTGAACCGATGGTGCCTATTTTGACTTCTTTGGACGTGATTCGAGCTATAGGATCACGGAGAAGTGCTCAATCTTCACTCTAATTGCACACTTGTGACGGCAACACCCTCTTCTGAAGAGTCATCACCCCACGAAACCCAACTGGCAAGTACCTGGTCGGTTGTAGACTGGTGCACGCCTCGTGCCGCGATTTGGTAGCCAACTGCGAGACCGGAAGTGAGGTCAGTGCTGTTCAGCGTATCAATAGCTTCCAAGACCGTAGATTCTGTGAGCCCATGCATTTAGCTCTGGGACAAACCAGTTATGTAATTATGGTGCTAGCATATTTGTACAGCGGTCGTTGAGTCTTGGTGAGTGTGAGGTAGACTGGTTGGGCTAGAGAGGAGGGTATCTTTGTGTGGTGAGGAAAAAAATAACGATCTATATCAGTCGTCTCCATTAGTATATCTTGTGCACTGTTCCCCTGAAGGTACCCAGATCCATTATTGTGGTACATTCATGGATTGGAACAGCCTTAGACAGGAATAAATTGTGGGGTTCACAACGC